GAACTGTTGATGTGCGTCTTCATTTCTGTTTCCCACCAAACGAAAACCTAACAACAGGATGCCTAAGTAACACACTCACTCTGCTGAGTGGAAGACACATGCCCAGTACTGTTAAGGTGATAGCGTTTCAAGCTTGTGCAGTATGTTTACACAATGTTTGAAATAGAGGTCTATCATAATCATATCATCATATCATAAAATACTGAAATCAAGATCAAATTGATCAAGAATTACAGCTATTAATTAATCATAATTGGCATGTGATGTGTCTTGATATTATGATCTTTTTTTCTTTTGCTATAAAATTCAACTTTAAAGAAAGCGACACACCAGTTCAGGCTCTCATGCAGACACTGTCCTCTTACCGAAAGTGTACAGACATGCAAACTCATCAAGTTCCTCGCTCTATTCAAATAAACCAGCAGGGCAGCAGCAACTGAAAAGTTCTACCAAAAACAATGTCAATAAGCAGTGCCTATCACTTTACTGTTGGAGGTATTTTGTAAGCTGTAGGTGTTGTTTTCAGACCCTACATGGTTTGGTGACAAACAGCGTTGCCCTCACCGGTGCGGGTCCTGAAGTAACAAGCCATACAACAAACCAAAGAGTTGAAGGAAATCTAGAGATAACACTGAGTGTGCATTTTGGGGGACACTAAAGTTCAGAGGTTTTACAGTTTATGGTACTTCATGTTATGCTGTACTACGTTCGGGGCCTACAGCTGTGTTCTATTTTCAGCTTTTATAGGTCACGCGTGAAAAACATTATAAATGCAGCACAAATGTGATGCCACATTACAAAAAGGAGCATCTGTATCAGTGGATTTATCCACTGCAGTGTGCTGTCAGTGCATGGAGGTCTGTATTATCATTATTATCCAGTTATAATAATGTGTCAGTTGTAGTAATCAGCTCTGTGATTTGCTTTCACCCACTGTCTACTATCTCCCCCTGCAAGCTAGTTCGCTTCACCATCTTTTGTAAGACCCCACCCCCGCAAACACACACACACACAAACACACAGTGCAGTAAATGCATGCATATTTATTTTGTGCCACAGATACAGACTGGCGTTAACTGAGCGTGGGGTTGACTTGGTTCCCTCTAGATTTTTTTGAAACTCTGTGGTTTAAAGACAAACAAGTGCTGTTTAGGCGGCCACTGTTATTATAGTTCAAATTCTGATAATCAATGTATGTGTCCATATATTTCATGTTACACTGCATCACACCAGAGTCCAAACTGCTCGATGATTGTGATTAGCAGGTCATGTTCAGTATTGTGAACAGCTGTTTCTGAGTAAACAGTCGTACTGCAGGTGGTACTTCCTATTTTTTAGTTTCACGGCTGCAGATGATCAGATGTTGAACTGTTTGCTGTATGAGGAACAAAGGGACTGCAGAGGGCTCTTTTCTATGAACTATCAATGATATTCAACGCTCTACCCTACTGCTGCTGTTTCCTGGAACAACTCCATTGATTTGGTGACTCCAATATGTGTTTCTTTTTTTTTGCTGTTACTTGAAATGCATGTTTGCTTTTTAATTTTTTTAATGGCCTTTGAAAACATTTCCTGTAATTCAGACTTACAGCAGGAAACCACACTTGGTTAATAAAAATGGGATTGTAGAGCTGCAGGTTTTCCTCTGACAGTGATGCCATATTGATTTGTTTCTGTAACTGAAAGTACATTGCTACTGCACAGTTTACTCCATGTGCTCAAGATAGTATGTAATGAATGAAAGTTTTTTTTCTCAGAGAATATTTGAATGCATATTTGAACATTTTTTTCCATCATATCTTTTCCAGATATTATATTAAAAAACTGCTTGCTTGCTTCCAGACATATATCCCTTACATCAGAGAAGGCATAGGCATTAAAACATGTCATCAGTTATTGCATGACTGCAGTTCACATAGACTGTCGTCCTTTTCACATTAACTCTATAGTTGGAATTGAGTTAGCCATGTGATAACAACAACAACATCTTTTTATCACTTAAAATGGGCATGCATGATGCACACTGAGGTACGCTGGAACCTAAAAACAACAACGCTGCAGTGAAGCAGAGAGCGGTCCCCTGTTACAGCGATATGGGAACGCCTCGGTGTTCATTATTGTGTACTTTGGTCACAGTTTTAACATCTGGATAGAGCTGAGTCCATTCCATTCCATATTGGAAAGCTGAAGTGCTGACATTAATCCTGACCTCGAGATTTACTGTGGAAAGGGCTGCTGCTTCAAGCAGAAAGTAGTTTCTTGGCAGCTTTACCGAGCCTTTTAAGTACTTTTTACTATGTGGATTTTTTTGTTTTTTTGTTTGTTTTTCAGCTGAAATTATTGTCAGTCATATATTTTTGCATGGCATAAACTAAAGTCTCGCACTTCCCGGTCTGATCCTCTTTGAATGTATAATGTTTGCGTGAAAGCCGTCTGAACCAGTGTTTATGACCTTATGTTATTCATCTGTTGTGGGGGATATTCAACCTTTAGAACCACATTTAGACATTGCTATTGACAGATTCTAATGAAGTCATTTCTGGAAATGAGTATGTTTCCCTATGCAAAAATATACCATTAATAAACATGCTATTCTAAAACTCAACCAGCAGGCTCTGTGTTTGTTCATTCATTCATATCTGCTGTTATTATAATGAGAATGATTTATTAGTGGACCTCCAACAGACCTCCAAATGTGAAGATCTCTTTTGAAGAGAAATTTGAAATGATCATCCCATTTCCAAAAAAGTGGTGACACTGTGTAAAGTGTAAATAAAACCATGCTATAAATTTCAGTTCTCATAAACACAATCTGCATTTACAATAGACTCTCAGATTTAGCCATTCTTATATTTTGCTTGTTCTCATGTTATTGTATTTTTGCACACCTCTATTGCTTGTGAAGCTTGCACACAAGAATTTCAATCACATGTACTGTACCAGTCTACCTCCACATGTGATGTGACAATAAAAGTGATTTGATTTGATTTAGAGCATAAAACACACATCAAAGGAAGTATAAAGGTTATTTTGGATGTCTGAGAACTGAGGAGAACAGTTGGTGGTAAATGGACTGGTTCTTTTCTACTCTATGCACTCAAAGCACTTTACACAGCTTGTGCATTCACACTTTTTCCTAAGCTGTTACCAAGGGCTTCCTAACTAACATTCAGACGATGGATCGGAGAGCAACTTGGGGTTAGTATCTTGCCAAAGGATATTTGGCATGCAGACAAGGGGGAAGCTAGGAATCGAACCACCAACTTCCAGTCAGTAGATGACCTGCTCTCCCGCCTGAGCTACAGCCACCCAACGCTGTCCCATGCTGTGGAAGAGAGCAAGAGATTAATAATAACAAATAGTTAAATGCAGACAGGTGTATAAACACATGGTGATGAAAAGGGATGAGAGAAGGAGAAATACTCAGTGCATCATGGGAATCCCCCAGCAGTCTAAAACTATTGCAGCATAACTAAGAGAGGATTCAGGGTCACCTGATCCAGCCCTAACTATATGCACAAAAGAGCGTTTTAAGCCTAATCTTAAAAGCAGATCGTGTCTGTCTCCTGAACGCAAACTGGGAGCTGGTTCCATAGAAGGGGCCTGACAACTGAAGGCTCTCCCTCCCATTCTACTTTTAAATGCTCTAGGAACGACAAGTAAGTCTGAGAGCTGTATTGGAGTCCTTACCATACTATAAGGTCTTTAAAACAAAACGGGGCCTGATTATTCAAGATTCTTCAAGATTACTCAAGGTAGGACTTACCTACCTGAAAGCAATTCCTATCGTTATAGCATATGGCTTTTTTAAATGAACTAAATTAAATGTATCACACTATCACCGTGTGGGTCGCTGTGTGCTGTTTCCACTGTGGTCAGCAGGTGGCGGTGTCGGTACCAGGCTTCATGTCTGCCGTCCACCATTAAAGCGTAGAACAAAAAAAAGGACCATATGTTCCGTTTGTACGGTTGGCGCCTGAAAAGCGCCAAATTGAAAGATACCAAACACCACTGATCCAGCTGACTGATGAAAACCAGCATCACTCAGAACTAGTCTGATATACGAACCTTTAACGTCGATCGATGTTCTAACTCGTCACAGCGGCACCGCAGGGAAAGACGGTTTTTGACATGGAGGAGCTCTTCAACAAAGTGTTGCAGGTTAATGTCAGATGCAGGGACTGCGAGGAAAGGTAAGCCTGTGCACACGGACACGGACGCACTATTTAAACAGCTTGGTTTGAAGTTACACCTGACGAGAAGAATAACTACGGTTATTCTGTCGGCACACACGAAACCTCCCCATCCTGACTGCGGCAAACAGCTGTCGGTCCAATCCAACCGGGGAAAACAAACAAACGTGTTGCACAGACTAATGCAAAGCACGTTAATATTAATCAAATGAATGATAACCCAAAGCATACTGCAAATCCAAGAGTTTCTCAAGGCAAAGAAATGGGATATTCTTGAATGGTAAAGTTAGTCGGCTGCATGTTTTTCAGTTACAGAAAACAACGCTGAGAGATTCAGAGACAAACAGCTGGAGGCCTGGCAGAGCATCTCAAGGCAGCATGTAGTGATGTCCGTGGGTTTGACTTTAGCTTGTCTAATTATGTTTGAGCCTCTGAAAACGGCAGTCTATGTATGCAAACTGCTGTATGTCCTAAGCAGTTTCTGCAGGTAAACCCCTGAATTAAAGCTGAATGTCTTCACTTTAGGTGCATCTGCATTGTTTGATTTAAAATCCACCGTCGTGGGTTACAGAGACAAAATCACAAAAATGTGTCTTTGTCAGAATACTTATAATGTAAATATACACAATAATGGAAACAGAGTAGAACTTTTTTGTGCATTTTGGGTTTTGGTAACCATTCAAAATGCTTTTACTGTACAAGTGTGCAAGTATGCTTCACATAAACAAACAGTTGTGAGAGAACACATCTGTATATTGAACCAGATGGTGTTCTGACAGCAATGTTCACTGCAGCAGTACCAGCGAAGTTCTGATGGTAAATTAGACACAGGAAAAGATTACTGGCATAGATGAAAATGAAGGGCGGACACGTAGTGCTAACAGCACAGTGTTTTAATATTTTGGCATACTGAAAGGTAAAGGCAGGTGACATGCTAATGTTGTTAGCAGCCTTCATAAGTTACTTCACATAAGGGTAAGTGAGCCTTTGTGAAGGCTGCGTGGAAAGCACTGCAGAATCAGAAGCAAGTGTTAGTGTATTTTGCAAACATTAATGGGAAAATGAAACATTTTCATATTCCTGTCTTTATTCTGTTTGTGGATTTTTGAAATGAGCTGAACACTGAAAAACAAGTTCACATAGGAATTATTGAGTCACCAAACATAATGTTTAATTGCTTCATTTTACAGAAAAGCAAATATTCGTGTCACAATTGAACTTCAGCTGACAACAAGTCCAGTGCACAAAAGAGTGAGTGGGACATTTTATTTGGAATTTTGTATAGTTTTGAAATAAAGAGAGAACTATACTATATACTACACTTACATTATATCATTTAACATTTCCTTTTTTTTACATATTACATTAGGATCTTCTAGTACGGATAACAGATGATATAGATCCATATTTTCTCTTCAACCTTGCAATATCAGAAGAGGATTTCCAAAGGTAAGTGTAAAAAGATTTGTATGAAGTAATGTGTTGTGTTAGAGTTAAGGGACAAAGCATCTCCAATATTAACTAATGTCATTTGTGTTTGAATTGTTGTGTAGCTTGAAAGTCCAACAGGGTCTACTGATCGATTTTGCATCATTTCCTCAGAAGTTTATTGACCTGCTTAACCTGTGCATTTCCGAACAAACGTCAGACAGTCCGAGGTATGAAGAAAACCGACACATGACATCACACTATTTGAATAAGCTGACAAATATATGCCATAAATATATTTTATCAGCCAGTGTCATCCTGCAACGCGAACTCCTGTTGTTTCCTAGGGTTAGTTTATCATCTATGGTGAACTGATTTTTGTATTGTATATTGTAAGTAAAGGGACAATATGAAATGGTTTGTGTCTCGGTCTCAAGTGACGCTGTGATAAAAGTAGACACGATTCTGTCTTGGAATTTGAAATTGGTGAACGATAAAGTTGCTTGTTGCACGTCCCTATGCTCTCTCTGTGAAAGGCAACTTTCATCATTAAGTATCACTGGAATATTTAAAAACATTACAAATATGTCCTACTGACTTAGTCATTTGAAAGATATAAATTAAAACCTTTTGCACAGTACTGTTAATTTTAGAGTTCCTGGTAAAACAGTCCCCGCCGCCTGACTAACTGTTGTCCATTCCACAGATTTCTTCTTCATTTGTCATGTCAGTCTCCAGTGCTAGAAGGTCCCGCCAACTTCAGTGTCATAGAGACAAACGCGTTTAAGCACCTTAACCACTTGTCTTTACGACTTTCTCAAGCTTCTGACAAAGAGGTTAAAGATTACCTGGCAGTTTGTCTCTCCTCTCTGAAGGTTGGTTCCATTTAGCTTCTTCATACTTTATGCCACTCATCAAAAAAACCAACCCTTTCAAAAAATACCAAATTTTAATGTTAGTTCATGTAAGTAAAACGTTGTCATGTACATGTTAAGTGTAGTTGTTAATCCCAAAGATGGGAGCTTGTATTGCTTGGGTGGGCTTCATGTTTTCAAGCTTACTTGTATTTTAGCTTTAGTTTAGTTTGATCAGCTGAAGGCAACATATATAATATATATATATAAAAATATAAAAACATTTGTTTGAATATAATTGTCTAGTCAAATAATTCTTTTGTTTTTCTGAGCAAAACTGAGTTTTAACAGGTTTTGTCATGTTTATGTCATTTTTTGTTGTTTCAGGCAGAGAAGCATGCCCTAGAAATGAAGCTTAAGACGACTGAAGATGATCTGACCAGGCAGCTGAATTATGCTCAACAGGTGTGCATTATTTTTATTTTTTAAGATATGATACAGCTTACTTGCGTACTCAAGGTTTAGTAGTTCTTGCGTTACAGCAATTAATGTTAAGCGAAACTTAACCATTGTGATTTTTCTTTAATAGAAATTTCAGTTTATTTATTAATAAACTGCCCATTTATTGATTTTTTTCATGTAATTTTTTTTTATTAAACAAAAGTTGAATAATTATTTTGTATGTGGTCAAACATAGCAAGGAAAACTGGAATCGGCAAAGTTGTAATTATCAGATCAACCTTTAAAAAGAGTTCCACAAAGAGTTGTCCACGGTGTGTTCTATGTAACTATAACATGCAGCTGAAAAAGTGATCATATGTGGATCATAGACGCTGTCTGAGAAGACCAAAGAGTTGGACAAACTGCGCTCAGAGTGGACGACTCAGACCAGCTCGCTGTCCAGCCTTCATTCTCAGGAGCTGCAGCTGGAGAGAGAAAAGGCTCTGGAGGCAAGACTTCTCTTTTAATCAGCACAAATTCATCAGCTATGTTTTTAATATGGGTATTAATGTCAAAACAAGCT